TTACATAAATCACGAGTGTTTAACCCCGTTTGGAAGGGTGCTGTCTCTCTACTCGTACCGACCTGGCGGAAAAGCGGGGGTGCGATGTGCCAACGGGGCTATATTTTAAGGGATGAAACGTACGCGGATCCGGGTGGCGTTTTATCGGTCGCGGTGTTTTGCCTGGCGAGCCGGAAATCTTGCTCGACAGCGAATACGAGGAGATAGGAAGCTTCGCTTCGCTCCGTTTCACCGATCGACGTGGATTAATACAGTGAGGAAGTAGAAGGGATGGGGTGGACGAAGGATCTTCAGGGTGCTGGATTCGATTCCGCGGTGATTCCGCGCGATAAGCAATTTCCGAAATTCTCCGAAAACCCTTTGGAATCATAAATCTCCTCGCTAAACATCATCGAGACCAGAGTCAGAGACAAAAGCGCGTTTCGAGGGCTAACTAAGGTGATTTTCTCCCATCCCGTTGCGTTCCCACCACCCCTATTTCTGGATCGCGTACAGGCACGAACGTTCGAGGCTTGTTTGACGAGGGTAGCCGTCCTCCGACGATTAATTTCTCGCTATTAATTAACCAAGGAATCGTTCCCCTCGTTTCGAGCCTTGGATCATTTCCAACCATTCTGGCCTCGCCCCTAAGCAGGGAGTTCACGATCGCTGCAACTCTGGAAGCTCGCCCCTTCCCTCCCTGTTTGGTGGTTTGCTCGAAGGTCATGGTCCTTAACTTTTATAAGCCTCGGTCTGGTCGGTTAATTACAATCAACTCCTCGATTAATCGTTCCGCCACCTGGACGACCGTTTAAAGTGTAAAACCTTGCGCGAACTCGATGGAGGGTTGCTCCGCGACTTTGGACACTTTATGGATATTGTGGTTAAGATTACATTCCCTAGGAAAGTGGTTCGTTTTCATTTTAACTACAATACATAAGGATTGAAAATGTTAGGATTCGCGAGGAAAAATTCGTGTGGTTCGGTTTACATTTTCTATCCCAATATTTTCAAAAATTCACCGTTTACGAAAGTTTTATATGACTGTCTGCTGACCCAGAAAAATACTGTAAATTCGTAAGACACTCACGGAACTATTCTACAGACCGAAAACGCAGAAGACAGGCACTAAGTTTGTCTGATTGAAGGATAACCGTGGAAATTTGTCAAATCGGAGACCGGCGATAAAGGAAATCGTTATATAAGCGGTCGCGCGATATTTCTCCCGGTAATTAATAATCGAACAAGTTGCCGGAGCTTCGTGGGGGTGGTAATTTCGGTGATTACTTTAGCAACGATCACTGTCGAGGGGCTTGCGTGGAACGTGATTCTGAAGTTTCCCTGAGCACCGTGCTAAATCGTTAATTACGATCAGCTCGATTAATCACCCCATTGGCGACGACGGCAATTTAAGCGACAAGGGGGTAACGCACGAGATGTAAACAAGATTCAAAGCCGGTTCTCGACGATCTTGCCAACGAGCTACCAACACGCGTCATCCCTTTTTCCTCGAACGCGCCAATCACCACTTCGTTCATTTTATTTGAGTACATCCTACTAGACAGTCTCTTAACAAATTCCTCGAAAGTGAATAAAATATACTTGTCGAGATTTAACCATTTACACTGCGAACATTTAACAAGTTAAGCGCCATCGTCTAAAAAAAAGTATGTCACTTTTGGCCACTGTGTACTTTTGTTTCTTTTTACACAAAATCCAAACTAATACAGGTGACCCATTAGATAAGAATTTATTATATTGATTCGGATACAAATGGCGCTTATCGTGTTAACCCTTTCAGGCACAGAAATTCAAATCGTTAATTCAAAATTATGAAATTGATACATCTGTCGTATCTTGTTATTTTGAAGTTGAAAATATCGATACTAAATCAATCTATTTTAACAACTTGTCCATTGAAGGAAGTTATTAAAAAAACTGCACTATTTATAAAATCGTCAGACGTCCGAATCAATACCATTCTACCTCATTCAACCCCGTCAAACCTACTCATCTAAATCATTACTGGATAAATTACGAGCGATTCGAGAACTTCGACACATTGATATATATGTATAAATATCATTTCAGTTTGAAATATCACGATAATCGTAAAAGTGATAGGCGGAGCTGTCTATCGCGGGATAAAATCACGTTCCTCTCTCCGCTCGCAGTCGCTCCCAAGCGCCATACAATTCTCGACGATTTCAGCCCATACACAGGCAAACACCGGTCGTGAGCGTTTAATTTTTCATCCGTGGCCCCGGTGTTATTTACGTGTCTACTTGTTTTAACACGCGGCTCCAAAATAAATTGTTCGCCGTGCGCGCGCGGTCATCGCGAATATTAATCAACCGACCGCCGAAGAATATCACTTTTCTCTAGCGTGGTTCATTGATTGCGCTCGCGTTGTTGCCTCGACCGTTCTCTGGTTTTTTGTATTCCATGGGCGATCAAATGAACGGGGTATACAAAAACATTCCGAATGCAATTCTTTTGGTCGCGGGGCTGCGCTGATTAACTCGCTGGGGCCAACGAACCGCGGCAAGCTTCGTCGGTGATGAATGCCGTTTTAGCGAGGGCATTTGTTACACAGGGCGACACCAGGGTTATCGTGAATTCATCATGTCGGTACCGGCGATCCTATTAAATTTCTTCCGATTCATCGACGATAAGGGGGACCCACCGATGTTGCCGTGCGCCCGCGTGTCGCGTTAATTTGTAACGCGACTAAAACGTCTGAACGGTTCGTCGACCTGGAGCGAGTCACGAGTACTGGGGATATATCGATGCCTTATACGCGAACCGTTCGTTCGCGCGAAATTGATCCTGGAAATTGGGTTGGTCGTGAACTCGATAAATCGAAGGGATGGAGCGGAAAATACGTGGGGTATACAGAGACGATGTACATACATTGTAAAAGTTAGAAGAGCCTCTACTCTCGCGATAAACGAACATCTTCTTTTCTAGCCAATTGATTATATATCACGATAGTTATTCCCGATCGTTAGACTGCCGATATTTATGAATCTACAGGGTGTCCCACGCAATTCTGCCAAGCAATAGCATCCAAACGCTAGAAGATAGAAAAAAATTTCAACTAGATATGACATATGAAATGTTTTTTAAACTCATTTTTTACAATTAGTCGCAGAGATTTATTAGCGTAGTAAAGCTCCCAATATAGAATTCACAATTCTGTCCCACTTCTTAGACATTAGCATTTGAATGTTGTTAAGTAACACGCTACAAATCAATATATAATCTTGTTACTGTAACTCCGATCGAATCATATTTGTTTGATACGTATTAACGCAACAGCGAATATTCTATCGAACGCGAAGCTGTTTTTTCTTAACCCTGGTTAACACGATCGGACGTTCCGTCGGTATCAGACTTTGAAAACTGTCGTGCAACACAAATTGGAAGCCGAAAACCCGCAATCACCCGGCAGATCGTCGGGGCGCGAGCTGCCTTCGAGACCCTTTCGGAAATCCTTTCACATCGGACTTCGAAAACGATCCCCAGTCCCGAAGTAGATCCACCTCCTCTTACCCTCCTTGTTTCTCGCTCAGCCAGGCCACCGTAGAATTAACCACACTCCCGAGCTGTCTAGAAGCTCCCACCCGGCCCAAGCTGCATTAACTTTACGGATCGTGAGCACCACCCCCTAGCGAGAATCCAATTCCAGAGAATGCGGTCATTTATGGAATCGAACAAATGGACTCGTCTTCTCTTGTGGACAGGACCATCATGGTCTTGAGAATTTTTGGTAAGACACTCGTAACGCTGAAGAAGTTCACCCTTATCCTATTAGGACACAGAAGATTCTGGTTGCCCGTTTAAATTGGCTCTAGTCGTTGTGCCCTGAAATGCATTGTGACACTGAGATCTTCGACACAGTGTAGATAATAAGTTGCCTCATGAAACGGATTGGTTGAACTGTGGCAGTCAACGCGTTAAAGGTCTCCCCAGATCGTCAGTCGATACAACGCACATTTCCACGTAATATTCAAAATGTAACAAACAGATGTCATTAATCTTCCCAGACTCACGCCATGTATTAAGATTGTACATGACAATCCATGCAAAATTCGTTCCTGTCATCTCAAACTTAAAAATCCTAACCTGACAAATATTACAATTTCATCCCTCGCGCGACTTAAGTTCCCCTTAACTCTTGTACCACGTGGATCACGACCATCAAGAGTCTCCACTCCATAAATCATCGCGATTCTCAAACACATCAGGTGACTCTGTTCCAAGTATATACGCATGAGCTTCGTAAGATAGATCATCTTCCTCCACCATCCCGTATGCAGGTGGGAAGCAAGTATCACGGAATGGGACACGTCGGTCATCCTCGTGATATTCGCAAGCGGACAGGCCTCCCAGCAGGAAGGCGAGAAGGTGTGTCACGTCGCGTCCTCTTGATATCGCGAGCTGTGCCTAGAACCTCCTGGCTCGTGTTCGCCGGCGCGGCCGTGGGATTAACGACGAGGCACGTTGGATTACGGCGGTTAGCGGTGTTCGTTAGACCACTATTTTAATTAAGACTATTATACGTGCACGGCTGGGTATTCGTATCGGGGAACAGAGGGGAGAGGCCGTTACGTGCGCGGACCGTTAAAACGCGGCGACGATTCGTTCCGCGACCTATCGATTGTAATTATCGACGCGGTGAACGGGGGCTGGCTTCGAGGATAGAATCTAAAAGCTGTGGGGGCACTTTTCCGAACGCTGCACGGCGTAAAAATCTGCTTTTTCGCGCTGCGAAGAACATTTTTTATTGGACTATAGCGGCTGATTCGACTGGGAAATTGATATTGGCGTTTGGGAACGTTGTACGTCAGTAGTATAACTCTTGGATTGGTCAGACAATCCAATGAAATTTAGCCATTATAAGACTTAGAATAGATCGAAACACTTGGAAATTATCTGGCAAGTAGTATAACTTTCTAGTACTATGGTTCACTTCCTCGGACAATCCAAATAGAAGATTTAATAGATTATTCACTCACCTGGTGGCGATCAGAGGGCAGGTGATGCTAGGTGAGGCCCACGCCTCCGGGCTCCAAGGCGCGCACTCGTAGAGCCTCAGTTCCCGTCCCGACACCGCTCCGAAAACGCTGCGCCAACCACCGGTGCATCCGCCCCCGAGGCCGAATCCGCTTCCTGCTCCTCGAGAGGTGCTCGCGCTGCTTCCGGCGCCGTCCTCGCTGCTCTCGCTGCTCGCGCGCCCATTCTGCGGACAAAATCGTGGAAGGCTCGCTCGTAAATCAAGCCAGTTGATCGCGATCTAGGACGATTTCCACGCCACGGAAATGTTTCCTCCGTAGGACACGTGGCGGCGGTGCGCTTCCCTTTTCACGACACGTGACCGTATACACGATAACACGTGGAATTAACGATTCCGCGGAGAAAAGGATAGAGAATCGGAAAGACGTACGTTTTGCGGTTGGATAACGGAGAGAGTAAGAGTGTTATCAAAGATGCAAGAATGTTCAATAATTTTAACTGGTGAAAGGATTCCTTCCTGTACACAATCAACATGTAAAACGCTCCGCGTCTCGCAATTCTCGTCGGACAAATAATGGTCCAAGGTAGTCGACCGAGGGCAGGAAAGCGTGTTCCACTGTTATTGACGTGGAAAGCAGTCGACGCAATCGGCAGTTTCTCGCATTCTCATTGCATTCCGGACACGCGTCGTTCGCAGAGGCAAGAACGCCTCCCCTGTGGACAGGTCCGAGGGGTGGGGGGAGAAAAAAAGTGCAAGGGAACCAGAGGCGGGAAGAAGGAGTACCCACGAGAAATGTAGCCTCATAAGTGTCAGCCGCATTTTCCCGTGGCACTTACGAGGAGACAATATCGAGCGAGGGACCGCCCCCTTCCCTTCCCAACCCCTATGGATACGAGAACGTGTAACTGTGGCACCGCGCCGTTCATGGTTACTCGCTGAGGACGGAAATGCACCGCCGTCGACCAAGGGAGGGCACAATACCCTCCATCCGCTTCCATCCGCGAGGATGATATATCGGGGATTAATTGAACTGTCGAATATTGATATTCCCGATGAAAACCATGCGTGTTTACATCGTGATGTTATGTTACATCACGTCCCGCCTCGGATCCTGGTCTTCCATATCATCCCTCGATACGTTTCATCGGATTAAATTAACCGAAGTATGATGCACCCTTTTTCAAGTGAATAAGCGACAAGCCATCCACCTTCGACTCTACCTGAAACACATCGACGTCAACAAACTTGTCCCGAGCACATTTTATTTCCTACCGCTATCGAACAGGCCAGACTGTTTAATCACCGGTGCACGACTCCTGCGGTCGCGAGAGAGCACGTTTCCCTGATTTTTTATATTTCGGTGTCCAGCCATCGGCGTGCGTCGGACAGTCCCTCCATTGACCAGCGCAAAGCTTGCCTCCCAGGACCTCCCGACCATAATAGCCGCAAATACAAGGGACAAAGAGAACCGAAGGGACGCCGCGCGTCCGTACTGTACCTCGAGAAAAATCGTCTGGTCCGTCTCCGAACAACAACAATTAGCCGCATCCAGCATGCCGATATATCCAATAAATCGTGGAATACCGTTCCTCCGGGACGTCTGTCTCTCTATCTCTCTCTACATCCGTTTCTCTTTGACTCCGAGCGTTTCACAGCGATACAATCGGACCCTTCAACCCTCTCATCCTCCTGAATTCCATCTTCCTTTGACTCACCACGACGTTAAGTGAAACGACAAACTCCCTCCAGCTTGATATCTACGATTTCGAGACCTCGAACCTGGTGAAAGTAGAATATTTCGGAAGATATACGACTGCATCCCCTGATGTTCACTTCACACGAAAGAAGCTTCTTGTAGCCACGAGCACAAGACACGATTCTCCGTTTCGTGTCGCGGTAATCGTGGAGTTCTTAGCTCTTCAATTATTCGCGAAATAAGCTGAACAGAGACCCACACTCTGAATTGAAAAGAAGTTAAAACCGAGGGAAGAAGTTCACGACAGTTCCTGGATTCTGGGACAAAGGGCTCGTTAAGGATCGATAAAAATTTTAAGCCGTGGTTCCCCCGAAGCTTCCTCTGAAACGGGTAAGTCGTTTGGCTTATCGTGAACTTTATACGCGAACGGAGACGATTTATACAGGATGAATGTGTCGTTTAGTTTTTCGATTTCCTCTTTTCTTCGTTCTTACTCGTTATTCCGAATAGATGCACAGTCGCACACAGAGATTTACGATTTCCATGGCGGATGAAACGATTCAGTGGGGGTTGCGAAAGAAGCAACATTTTCGTTTTCCAGAAAGAAACGGACAGGAAACGTTGTTTCACTTCTCCGACGCGTTCCTCGAGCTTCAAGGAAATTAAGCCAATTAACCCCTCGCGGCTGGAGATTTTCTTTCGGGCTGGCACCCGTCCAACTTCCGTGTTTCCGGGGAAAATGTACAGACTTTCGGAAAGGTAACGCGCCGCCTTCCCTCCCCACCCAGCCGATGAAACTTTCAACAATGCGGCCCAACTTTTCGCCGGGGACAATCGTTTAACCAGGTGTCCGTGGACAAAGCGACCCAACCCCCGGATAACAATGTTGTCCAGGCTGCTCGTTGATTGCTACGGAACGACGCGCGTTACCAGCCCTAATATCAAACTTAAACTCCGGAATATTTCACGTCCACGTCTTGTACATCATTTTAACACTCTGACTGTCACGTCAACCAAATATGGATGACACGTACATTGCAGAGAGGCTGGATGATTCATTAATTAAAATTAATATCGCAGACGTAATTCCTCATAAAAAGATAAGGAGAAAATTGAGTTTGAAAATCTGCTGGATATACGTGCATTAGAATATGCGTCTGTTCATCACATTCCGTTTCTACTTATTGTCACAACGCACACTCGATAAAATTTCCAAATGGTTTCTCTCGAAAACGAAGCATCCTATGAAAAAACTTTCTTCTTGTATTTCGCTTTATTTTACTTGTACTATTCGATCTGAGAGGTCCTGTATGCATTTCCAGGATTAGACACAAGAATAATGCTTACATTTCTACGTTTCTTCTCGACATGTATAATTCTGTTCACTGTAACGAAGGCGTACTGCCATTAATTGAAGGTGTGAAGTTAACCCAAATTAAGAATATTCATCTAATCCTCACCTAGATCCCAACGACACCAACCTCCATTCTAGTTCGTCGACTCAGCAGCATTTCCCGCGTCGCGATCACACCCGACGATAATAACGAAAAGTATGGTAACGGTTGGCCCCGGCGCAAAACTGGGAGGGCGTGGATTGCGATGAATATGGTTCGTTGGGCGTGGAGTGGAGCGTAGTCGATCGGCCGATTCAATCAGCTCGAATTGAAGGGTGTTCGAGAAGCCGTAGGAGGAGGTGGATCGACGGTACGATGGGGTGCGTGGTGGGAAAACTCGCGATACAACGAGAGCACAATGGGCTCGAATCGGGAAACCGCAGACCTCGAAGAAGGAGAGAAAGGTTCCGCGATATGGATAAAGAAAGCCATCGGAAGCTCTCGAAAGGCCTAGCTGAAACCTCGACCGGGAAATTCCCGGAAAATTCGACGGAATCAAGGCCGTGTCTCGTGGAAACGCCGTCGATCCTTCGGATTTTCATTTTGTTTCCTCGACCGTGTCCCGCTCTTCTTCCACCCTCACCGGAAATCCAAATTGAATTCCGAACGGCGACGGGAATTATCGCGAATTGTTCGACGCCGGGGGTGTATCGATCGGGTCTGGATCGTTTCGACGATTTTCCTTCGGTTCTGTCCCGTCGACTTCGAATCCCCCGTCCCACTAGCGATACAACACTTGTCCCCTCGATCCCTAAGTCTTGGCTTCCTTGCTCCTTTTTCGATTCTCGGCCGCGACACCGTCTCGCGGAAACATTGTCGCGTGCGATGGAAACATTCGACGATATATCAGAGATTTATCGCCGCGTTGACCGGCTGGGATACGATCGTTCCCGCTTGAAAATGAATGAAAAGGGGGGAAAGGCAGAGGGATGTGACAAAGGGGGAGGGGCCACGTGGATTCGAACAACTCCGATAAGGGGGAAATAAAATGTCCGGTGGCCCGGGATCTACGATAGCTTCGCGTTGCGGAATCGGGTGGAAAAATGGAATCGGACTCCTGGCTTATGTTGCATAGTTAATGCGTCCATTAGCCGCGGTCGATAAAAATTGTACAGAGACATTCATAAGAAAGGACGATAAGTATGTAGGTAAAGGCAACGGATTCAGCATTTTATTTCATTTTTGAAAGTTATAAATCGTCGTGCATATTTGCGTTTAGTTAACACAGGCTGTTGGTCTTGTTTTAAATTATACTGCGATATTAATTGTACTTGCATATCTAGGAACATGGTAATCAAAGGGTTTTAGGAAGATAAAAGATATCTCTTGTTCCTCCATTTGAGCTGCTGAACTTTGATTCTGGATCACTGTGACGCTGTGTCGCCATTCTACGCAGCAATGACGGATGTTCTCTGACGGGGGCGCTTGAAAGGATTAACCGAATTTCGCCCAAGTAATATGCATACCTCCGGGAACTTAGGACGCCGGGTAGTTCGCCTTGCTCTTTGCCCATAGACATCGGCTCACCATCGTCTTAGGCGGCAAGCTGACGCGCTCCTACGGATATCTCTTCGGACGGGAGACCCAGCTTTTTGCCCCGAGTTTCTTCGAAACTTCGTTTCGCGCTCGCTTAAAGAAAGTTACGGGGTAGGAAAAAGTCTCGGAGTCTACTTAGCGCTGGTGGAGGGCCTGGGACACGGTCGGGCTACTCTTGCGCCTCTGTTCGCTAATCGCTAATTTCAGGATGCTTTAAGCTTCTGGTAAAACGTTGTCGTCAGCTTCCTAAATAACGCGAACTGAATATTCTTCTTTGACGCTCAGGAGGATCTTCCACGTTGCATTGTAAGAATCGTAGATGGTTGCTCCTGTTGTAGAAAAGTGGAATAAATTGATATCTTTGATTTGTTCGAACTGGGAAGTATTAGTGACGGAAGACAAGTAACAGGGTCCAAATTTGTCATCTTTGAATCCTCTCACTATCCTCCTATTCTTCATTGTACTTTTGACTGGTCCTAATAGGTCAATAGATCCTGATCCCACACTGGTATAATTAAGCTCGAAGATCATCAAGAGGAAACTCTACGACCATCTATCAGAAATTAGTCGAACGATTTCTACCCGACTATTTAAGGATC